TCACACTCCTATTTATGCTCCCTAGTGGTCAAAGACCGTGAAAAATCTAATACAAATGATAACACACTTTATCTGTGCAAAGTGATAAGTGTAATCCAATTACATGAACTAAATCAAATAAACAGTCCAAAGACTTGTGATGCCACACTGTGCAAATAATAAGTGTTCAATACACAGTGATTATAACTTCACTCCATGCTGCAAACGTGCTCTTTGTGACACTCTGATGTGACTCCCCTGGATATAGCCAAAATGCCTCCTCACCTTCCACATTCGACCCTTGCGGGTCACAAAGCCTTAAATATATAGTATCTCAGCCAGATTTTTATGCTCCACTGACTCCACCGACTCAAATAAGATCCCCCTCCAAGCAATGAATTCCTCTCAGATCACTTTCCTCACAATATGGACTCATAAACACAGGACGTATATGTAGAAACAAAGACAAACCTCCATAGTGCAACACTGTTTTAATGCACTTAAAATTTCCAAAGCAAATGAACACTCACATGTCATCCAGCAGAAAGAAGCAGTTTCCCATGTGCTATGGGTGTACTAAGGTGTACCAAAATGGCGTCCGAACCCGGAACCAGAAGTACGTCACCCCTTAACCGGAAATGCGTCGACGCGTTGCGCCACGGTCACGTGGCTTCTTCAGGATCATCCTCCTGAAGAAGCCACGTGACCGTGGCGCAACGCATCGACGCATTTCCGTTTAATTTAATTAGGTGTGTGCCGAAATTTGTGAAATTACTCAAACTAATTTTTTTCACACCAAAATCAAATCCTTAAAGTTGTACTGATGAATGAGTAAGCACTTTGCATTAAGATTTTTTTAATATTGTCTGCTGGTGCAGAAACTGTTTCTCTACAAGACCTTTATTGTGCAACAAATTGTGGCAATATAATGAAGCTATTGGAGGATATTGAAAGTTGATATTTTGTGAGCTTTCTTACAATTTGCTATATTCTTTCCGCATTACCCTGCAACAACCATTTTGTGAACTGAAATAAAAGTGAAAAATGTCATCTGAGTATGACTGTGCTATGGAACACATACGTTCTTCAGAAAATACTGTACTTGAGACCCATTACTTTAGCACTGGCTTTCAGTCCATCAAGTTCAAGGAACAGTTTTTGAAACACTTCAAAAGTGTATTTAAGTTCTTTTGGATAGCACAGATTCAGAGCATATATTATACCCATCAGCAAAGCACAGCACCTTGGAATATTAAATCCCTCCAGGATTTTGGTTCCCTCGACCAGAATGGTTGCTGTCTTGTGGTCATATCCTGAGGTGGGCTGGTTACCAATAATAGCAATTTTCATTACTTGCATGTCAAGGTTTTGTTTAGGTTTGACCTCATATTATATCATTTTCAGTGAATCTAAAGGAAAATTGAACAATAAGATTGTATATATAACCATCAAGGTGGATGAATCATTGGTCTGATGCTGGATCTATCCCCTGCCACTTCTACGACTGAGAACTGACTGAGAACTGAAAGATCAGCAGTCTTCGATCAGTCTTCTGTGAGCAGAGAGTGGTGACCATCCATCACCGGCTCTCTACTCTACCCCTCCAGCACTCACTGGAGCGCTGGGCTGTAGAGGGTACAGGCTCTCAGGAGCATGATGAGAGGTTGAGTCAGCTACTGGTCAGGCATCCGGGTGGATCCCGACCATATCGTTGGTTTCTTTTGGGAGCCTGGACTGGCAATGTGATGTCAGCCGACAGCAGGCTTTAGGCCACCGTCAGCTGAAAACAGGTCACAGGAGTGCAGAATGAACTGTACTCCTCTGATCCATAGAAGAAGTACAGCAAAAAGAGCTTTGGCCATACTGCTACATTAAGTCTTAAGCAGGCCATAGATTATGCAATTTTCTTTCCTTCTACCACAGGTAAAAAAATTATTTGTTTACCCCCCTCAACTCATTTGGAGTTGATGGGGAAATCCCTCCCGAAGCACTGTTGTGTACTTCCAGTGAGGAGCCTTCCCCACCGTCACAACACAAAGATTAGTGTTGCAGGCTATAGCCGGGGGCACTAATCATTTGGGAAAACTTCAGCCAAATTTCAACCAATGTAGAGCCAGCTTTAGACCAGCACACACAAAAACACACACAGTTATTAAAACTAGCTAAATTTACAGGATGCATCAATAACTACAAAGGGGGGAAAACTATGAAATTATTTACATTTTTACAAAAAAACAAAAAACAAAAAGCACAAGCATGTTTTTTGTTTATCACACAAGTAAAATAGCATAGTTTATAGTATTATAGACCTATATGTTTATATAAATGTTAATGGCTCAACATCAAGCTAATCAAGGCTAATCTAATTGCTGACTTAGGTGCTATAATTATATCTAGCAATAGCAAAGCAAAATGTGTTTCTAACCTATGTACAGTCACAGGAAAAGTAAATGAACCATTTGAAATTACCTGGTTTTGTACATAAATTGGTCCATAAAATGTGATATGATCTTCATCTTAGTCACAAAGATAGACAAAACATAATGTACTTAAAGCAGAGTTCCACTCTTTGTAAAAAAAAATGAAACAGTCAGCAGCTGCAAAAACTGTAGCTGTTGACTTTTAAAAAAACAGCCACTTACCTGTCCCACGATCCGTGTTGCCCCCACCACAGCCCATTTCACTGGCTGTCCTGTATTACTGGCGCCGGCATCTTTAGTGTGCGAGTAGTGCTTTGCACTTCCTGAATGGTCCCGTGATCTTCTGGGACCTGTCATGTATACCACAAGACTTTGGGGAGGGGAGGGTAACTTCTGTTTCCGATCGCCTAGGCGATCCCAGAGGAAGTGTCAAATTCAGGTACTCTTTCCCCCCCCCCCCAGCTCCCTTTTGGTGGAACTCCGCTTTACAGTTGCAAGAAAAAGTATGTGAACCCCTTGGGATTACGTGGAGGTTTGCATGAATTGGGCATAAAATGTGCTCTGAATGTCATACTACACAAACATTAGATGTTGCCATGGTTTAATTGCACATAACATGTAAACATTCACAGTGCAGGGAGGAAAAAGTATGTGAGGCTCTAGCTTAATGACTTCTCTCAGAGCTAATTGGAGCCAGGAGTGAGCCAACCTTGACTCCAATCAGTGTGATGATATTGGATGTGTTGCTGACAGCTGTCCTGCCCTTAAAAAACACACCACCTGTTTTGGGTTTTACTGGTTTCAAGAAGCACTGTCTGATGTGAAACCATGCCTTGCAGAAAAGAGCTCTCAGAAGACCTACGATCAAGAATTGTTGACTTGCATGAAGCTGGAAAGGGTTACAAAAGTATCTCCAAAAGCCTTGATGTTCATGTGTCCATGGTAAGACAGACTGTCTACAAATGAGAAAGTTTAGCACTGTTGCTACTCTCCCTAGGCGTGGTCGTTCTGTAAAAATGTGTCAGGGCTCCCAGGTGTGACCAGAGATGTGTGACTGACGCAGGGAAACGCAGACCTCAGATATGTTATAAACAATATAATTTATTAACACTAACAATACAAACAAAACGCAGTGCAATACTAAAACATAATACAGTGCAAACAAAGCAAAACCAAACCACCCACAGATAACAGTACATACAAGCAAGCGTCGTCAGGCAGGCCGGGTCAATATCAATAGGGCAGGTAGGTACAGGGGGAGCAAGCAGAGATTGTCAGGGTCACAAGCCAGGGATCAGAACAGGTAGCAAGCAGCGTGGTACAGAGGGTCAGACAGAGGGATGGTCAGGAGCGAGCCGGGATCAGAGCAGGAGAAAGTCAGCAGCGGTTCAGAAACAGGATGCAGGACAGAAACAGGATGCAGGACAGAAACAGGATACAGGCCCAGGACAAACACACACCAAGGCAGAGTCTGTGGGTCTGGCCATCCCTTAAATACCCCAGCATATTCAGTTACAGGTGTTAGCTGGCTGCAAAGTTGAGTCTCTGATTGCTGGGAACACCGCTGGCCAGCCCTGGTACTGCAGATTAAAAGGCAGGTGAGTCCCACCATAGCTGGCCAGTCCATTCCTGACAGTACCCCCCCCCTCAAGGAGCGGCCTCAGGACGCTCCAAACAGTCCTAGCTGGGGGAAAATGTTCCACCAGCCGGGTCTGGTAACTGGCGGGATATCAAAGACTGGCACACCGGGCAGGACTCCGGGCAGCGGTACTCCGGGCAGAGGCACATCGGGCTGGACTCCAGGCAGAGGCACATCGGGCTGGACTCCGGGCAGAGGCACATCGGGCTGGACTCCGGGCAGAGCAGGCACATCAGGCTGGACTCCGGGCAGAGGCACATCGGGCTGGACTCCGGGCAGAGGCACATCGGGCTGGACTCCGGGCAGAGGCACATCGGGCATGGACTCCGGGCAGAGGCACATCGGCTGGACTCCGGGCAGAGGCACACCGGGCAGAGGCACACGGGCTGGACTCCGGGCAGAGGCACATCGGGCTGGACTCCGGGCAGAGGCACATCGGGCAGAGGCACATCGGGCTGGACTCCGGGCAGAGGCACATCGGGTAGGACTCCGGCAGAGGCACATCGGGGCAGGGGACCCGGGCAGAGGCACATCGGGCAGGACCCCGGGCAGAGGCACATCGGGCAGGACCCCGGGCAGAGGCACATCGGGCAGGACCCCGGGGCAGAGGCACATCGGGCTACCAGGCGAAGCAGCAGGCAGCGGGCCACCAGGCGAGCGACAGGCACCGGGCCCCCGGGCGGGCGACAGGCACCGGGCCCCCGGGCGGGGCGACAGGCCTCGGCCCCCGGGCGGAACTACAGGTCGCGGGCCCTCGGCGGAGCGACAGGCATCGGACCCCCCGGCGGGGCGACAGGCATCGGGCCCCCAGGCGGGGCGACAGGCATCGGGCCCCCAGGCGGGGCGACAAGCATCGGGCCCCCAGGCGGGCGACAGGCATCGGGCCCCCCAGGCGGGGCGACAGGCATCGGGCCCCCGGGCGGGGCGACAGGCATCGGGCCCCCGGGCGGAGCGACAGGCACCGGGTCCCCGGGCGGGGCGATAGGCACCGGGCCCCCGGGCGGGGCGACAGGCACCGGGCCCCCGGGCGGGGCGATAGGCACCGGACCCCCGGGCGGGGCGACAGGCACCGACCCCCGGGCGGGGCGACAGGCACCGGACCCCCCGGGCGGGGCGACAGGTCTCGGGCCCTCGGGCGGAGCGACAGGCATCGGGCCTCCAGGGCGGGGCGCAGGCATCGGGCCCCCAGGCGGGGCGACAGGCATCGGGCCCCCGGCGGGGCGACAGGCATCGGGCCCCCTGGCGGGGCGACAGGCACCGGGCACCACCCCCCGGGGGGGCGACAGGCACCGGACCCCCTGGGCGGGGCGACAGGCACCGGACCCCCGGGCGGGGCGACAGGCACCGGGCCCCCGGGCGGGGCGAACAGGCACTGGGGGCCCCCGGGCGGAAACTACAGGTCTCGTGGCCCTCGGGCGGAGCGACAGGCATCGGACCCCCCAGGCGGGGGGCGACAGGCAATCGGGCCCCCAGGCGGGGCGACAGGCATCGGGCCCCCAGGCGGAGCGACAGGCATCGGGCCTCCAGGCGGGGCGACAGGCATCGGGCCCCCAGGCGGGGCGACAGGCATCGGGCCCCCGGGCGGGGCGACAGGCATCGGGCCCCCTGGCGGGGCGACAGGCACCGGGTCCCCGGGCGGGGCGACAGGCACCGGACCCCCGGGCGGGCGCGACAGGCACCGGACCCCCGGGCGGGGGCGACAGGCACCGGGCCCCCGGGCGGGCGACAGGCATCGGGCCCCCAGGTGGGGCGGCGGGCACGGACCCCCATGCGGAGCGGCGGGCGCCGGGACGCCTGGACCCCCAGGCGGAGCTACAGGTCTCGGGCCCTCAGGCGGAGCGGCGGGCGCCGGACCCCCAGATGGAGCGACAGTCTCGAGCCCTCAGGCGGAGCAAACAGGTCTCGGGCCCCCAGAAACGAAGCGGCGGGGCACAGAGAGTTCACCAGGCACGACAGTGGGCACCGAGTCAACTGGCAAGACTGCGGGCATCGAGTCAACTGGCGGAACAGCAGGCACTGAGTCTCTGGCAAGACTGCGGGCACCGAGTCGTCTGGCAAGACTGCGGGCACCGAGTCGTCTGGCAAGACTGCGGGCACCGAGTCGTCTGGCAAGACTGCGGGCACCGAGTCGTCTGGCAAGACTGCGGGCACCGAGTCGTCTGTCGGAAACAGCGGGCACCGACTCGTCCTGGCAAGACTGCGGGCACCGACTCGTCTGGCAAGACTGCGGGGCACCGACTCGTCTGGCAAGACTGCGGGCACCGACTCGTCTGGGGCAAGACTGCGGGCACCGAGTCGTCTGGCAAGACTGCGGGCACCGAGTCGTCTGGCAAAGACTGCGGGCACCGAGTCGTCTGGCGGAACAGCGGGCACCCGACTCGTCTGGCAAGACTGCGGACACCGACTCGTCTCGGCAAGACTGCGGGCACCAACATTTTCTGGCAAGACTGCGGGGCACCGACTCGTCTGGCAAGACTGCGGGCACCGAGTCGTCTGGCAAGACTGCGGGCACCGAGTCAACCTGGCAAGACTGCGGGCATCGAGTCAACTGGCAAGACTGCGGGCATCGAGTCAACTGGCAAGACTGCGGGCATCGAGTCAAACTGGCGGAAACAGCGGGCACCGAGTCGTCTGGCAAGACTGCGGGCACCGAGTTCGTCTGGCAAGACTGCGGGCACCCGAGTCGTCTGGCAAGACTGCGGGCACCGAGTCGTCTGGCGGGACTGCGGGGGCACCGAGTCAACTGGCGGGACTGCGGGCACCGAGTCGTCTGGCAAGGCTGCGGGCACCGAGTCGTCTGGCAAGACTGCGGGCACCGAGTCGTCTGGCGAAGACTGCGGGCACGCGAGTCGTCTGGCAAGACTGCGGGCACCGAGTCGTCTGGCAAGACTGCGGGCACCGAGTCGACTGGCGGAACAGCGGGCACCGAGTCGTCTGGCAAGACAGTGGGCTCCGAGTCAACAGGCACGACAGTGGGCACCGGGTCATCAGGCATCGGATTGTCTGGCTCGACAGCGGCATCGGGTGACCAGGTATGACAGCGGGCACTGGGTCACCAGGCATCAGGTCATTTGGCTTGCCAGCGGGCACCGCGTCATCTGGCAAGGCAGTGGGCACCGGGTCACCAGGTATGACAGCGGGCTCTGAGTCAATGGGCACGACAGCGGGCACTGGATCAGGTACCCGGATCATCTGGATCAACAGCGGGCATCGAGTCAAATGGCCTAATAGGATCGTCGGGCTGGATCAGTTCATCATGCTGAGTAGCGGTCATCAGGCTGAATGCAGGCATCAGGCTGAGGAGAGGCTTTCAGGCTGAGGAGAGGCTTCAGGCTGAGGAGAGGCATCAGGCTGAGGAGAAGGCATCAGGCGGAGGAGAGGCTTCAGGCTGAGGAGAGGCTTCAGGCTGAGGAGAGGCTTCAGGCTGAGGAGAGGCTTCAGGCTGAGGAGAGGCGTCAGGCTGAGGAGAGGCTTCAGGCTGAGGAGAGGCTTCAGGCTGAGGAGAGGCTTCAGGCTGAGGAGAGGCTTCAGGCTGAGGAGAGGCATCCGGCTGAGGAGAGGCATCCGGCTGAAGAGAGGCATCCGGCTGAAGAGAGGCTTCAGGCTGAGTCACGGAAGGCAGGTTCACAGGTTTGGATACTGGCAGGATGGTATTGGTTGGAAAGAATTTTCGCTTTTTTTTTTTTTTCTGGTTTTAACTACTGGAAGCACTGCAAGTAAACGCAGGTCTGCAAACGAATGGAGCAGCTGGAGACAGAGAAAAAACTGGAGGATGGAACAGGAGAGGGAGTACAGCAGTTGCTACAGAGGGCTTTTTTACAGGGTTTAAAGGCAGGAATAGGTGCAGCGAGTGGGAAACAGGGTACTGACATGCGGTAGATAGCCAAGTATACTGGGCTGTAACTGGAGGAGCTGGTGGGAATACAGGAGTAGAGTTAGAAGCAGGACTGGGTTTTTGTAAGAGCTGACTGAGGCTGGGTGCAAACAAGTCTGTCCATGTCTGCAGTATGAGGGTTGAACACAAGCTTGAGCTTACACAAAGCCTGTCTGGTCAATGACTGCACTGCGTTTATACCAATTCTCTTAGTGTCTGTGCGTGAAAACATGTGGAATAACGCTCCAGGAAAGTAACCCACATCATCTCTAATAACCACACCAGGGACTCAAACCTGGTCTGCACTAAATGGTGGCAAAAATTCATCCCTGCATTTCGGGGGAACCACGATGAAACCAAAACTCAAACACAAACCTGAATCAATGGCTGCACCATAGAGAAATCTGTGCCCTGATCTTACTCAGAACAATGAGGCGAGCCGTATACATTCTAGCAGTTCATCCCGGGGATACTCCTTCAGAAGTTCTGATAAGCTATACACTCTGTCATTCAAGCACTAGGCAGAGATATAAATACTCCAACCTCCCATCCAGATCCATCCTTCCCATCAACATGTCCAAGATGGCTATCCCTGTCGCAGCCCCACTTCTGGGTCAGGATTGGCCTTGGTGTAATGTCCAGAGGCTTCCCAGGTTGTGACCAGAGATGGTGTGGAACTGACGCAGGGAAACGCAGACCACAGATATGTATTATATAAACAATATAATTTATTAACACTAACAATACAAACATAAACCGCAGTGCAATATCTTAAACATAATTACAGTGCAAAAACCCCATAGACAAAAAAAAACAACCAAACCAAACCACCCACAGGCTAACAGTACAATACAAGCAAGCGTCATCAGGCAGGCCGGGTCAATATCAATGGGCAGGTAGGTACAGGGGCAGCAAGACGGAGATTGGTCAGGGTCACAAGCAGGGATCAGAACAGGTAGAAGCAGCTGGTACAGAGGGTCAGAAGAGGGATGGTCAGGAGCGAGCCGGGATCAGAGCAGAAGGTCGAGCAGCGGGTTCAGAAACAGGAATGCAGGGACAGTGGGAAAACTGGATGCAGGGGCCCAGGACAAACACAACCAGGCAGAGTTGTGGGTCCTGGCCCATCCCTTATTTACCCCAGCATAATCAGTTACAGTTGTTAGCTGGCTGCAAAGTTAGCTCTGATTGCTGGGGGAAAACCCCTGGCCAAGCCCTGGTACTGCAGATCAAAAGGCGGTGAGTCCCCCCATAGCTCCGTCCCTTCCTGACAAAAAGACTGCAAGAGAAGCGCAGAATGCTGCATGAGGTAAAAAAGAACCCAGGTGTCAGCTAAAGACCACAGAAATCTCTGGCACAGCTAACATTTTTGTTGACACATCACAAAAAGGAAACATTAAAACAAGAAGGGGTACATGGGGAGGACACCACGGAGGGAAACCATTGCCCT